ACACTCCCCCCAAAAAAGGCAGATCTATAAACCTTTTCATTCATAGCACAGAACACGTAAACGTTAACTCCTCAAATATCAAAAGTGCACAAACAATACTGAAGAACTAAAGAAGGGTTCTACCCACAAAGGTTTAAGTATGACAGAAAGTGTCCTTCCATTATAAACAACCGTGACAGTGGAAAGATATTTAAAACAAGGACTTTCAGACACAACCACCACAGCACAGAACTGGAATGTTCAACAGAAGGTAAACAATAGAGATGACCTGGTGACTGCTCCAAGGTTACTGTGTGCAAGTAGCATTCATGCTGCAGAATAAAATAGGAAACCCAAGCTGAGCCCAGCCTCCTACTGATTTGAGGAGACAAAAGGGCAGATGGTGGAGGAAGAAGAGAAATGCCACAATATATAGATCTGAATTCCAAAGAAGAGGGAATTACACAGAAAGCCTCAGAGATCTGCAGTGGAATGCAGTCAATTCTTTTACTGAATACTGACGACGTATGGAGGTAAAACTCCACCACGCTGGAGGAAAAGAAAAAAGCAGTATGCCCCCAAATTCCCAACGCTCTCCCCCAGCTGGAACAGACTTCATAACACAAAGCACAACTGCTTACACATACCTCCTGTCTTCACATGCAGAACTCCAAAGAGACTCACAGGCAAGCCAGTGAGGCACCCAGTAACTGCTAGCAGTTGTATGCCCACCCAGCTTTGATTTGTACTAAGGCACCAAAGTTAGACTACCCATGCTTCTCTACTACCGGTGCAAACGGTCAACACTGTAAGCAAGGCAAATACAACCTCAGTATTGCTGCATTATGAAGGCAACTGTGACCCTGCAGATTCTGTAAAAGACTGCAGACATACCAATGAGTCTGGAAACCACAATGTGACAATTTCTATCCTAAAACACCATTTGGGGAAAAAAAAAAAAAAAAAGATATTGCTAAAAAGACATTAGTAGAGACAACAGGTATACTAAAAAATAATCCCTAATCCCAGACAAGAATGAAGGTATACGCCTGAAATCCCAGTTACTCCAGAGACTGAGGCAGGAGGACAGCAAGGTCAAGGCTAGCCTGGACAACTGAGTAAGACCCTCCTTCAAAATAAAAATATTACAAAGGATGGACATTTAGCTCACTGGTAAGTGCTTGCCTAACATGTATGAGGCCCTGGGCTCAATTACCAGTACTGTTGCAGGGGGAAGGAGGGGAGGATCTCAAAGAGTAAAGAGAAAAGGCAAAAAGAACAGAAAACATGAAAAGGAAACAAAGAGGAAATACGAAGGATCAAACTCAATCCTAACACAATCAAATGCAAATGGTCTACACATTATAAAAGACATTATCAGAAGGTAGAAGCAGCAGGATCCAGACAGAATTTGAGACCACCCTGGGCTACATAGTGAGACACTGTCTCAAAAAGGAAAAAAAAAAAACAAAAAAAACATCAGACTGGATACACTGTCTACAATATACCTTCAATTGAAATACACAGATTGCAGCCATGAACAATGGCTCACACCTGTAATCCCAGCAACAGGGACAGCAGAGATTGGGAGGGTTGCAGTTTGAGGCCAACCCTAGCAACAAGTTAGTAAGACCCCATGTCAACAACTAAGCCAGTGCACACCTGTAGCCCTAGCTATGAAGGAGGCACAAGTAGGATGACTACAGTCCAAAGCTGACTGAGCAAAATGCTAGCCCCAATCTAAAAAACAACCTAAAGCAAAAAGGGTTAGAGGCGTGGCTCACGTGACTGAGCACCTGCCTAGTAAGTGAAGGCCCTGAACAAAGCCCAGTAGCACAAAAAAATAAATATATACAGATACTGATAGGTAAGAGGTAAAAAATTCAGAGTTATGCTATACCAACACTAATTATGAAAAAAATAAAGTGTAAAACTTTGTTATACTAGTATGAAACAAAATAATCTTCAAAACAAACAATTCAAGAATGTAAGGGCTGAGGGCATGGCATAGGAGGCACACCACTAAAAAAAAAAAAAAAAGAGAGACAGAGACAGAGAGAACAAGAACAGGGGGAGATTTCATGATTACAGAGTTAGTAGAGAGGACACACAGGGCTGAGGGAGGCTCAACAGTAGACTACTTGGCTACATGATGAGGCCCTGGGATCCATCCAGCAGCACCCCCCAAAAATAAAATTCAAAATGTGCATGCACCTACTGAACAAGTTTTAAAATACACAGAGTAAAAAGGAGGAGAAAAAAAATCCACATTTTGACTATATATTTCAATCATCATATCACTTTCAAATTGGAAATAACTCGACTGTCAGTGAGCAGATACAGAAGAGATGGCACAGCTGTCATCACATGGGTACTGTCTACCAATGAACACCAGCACACTACTGTTGTGAGCAATACCGTGAATGAGTCTCAAATGCACTATGCCAATTCAGAGAACCAGGCCCACGTGTCCACACAGCATACAGTGCCATCTGCGGTTGTCACCCCTCATCCAAATGTTACACCTCAAACACGGACAGTACCAACCACTGTGAAACATCTTTTCCGAAACTGGCCATACATACGCAAATTCAATGCATGTGCCATCTTAACCTCCTGTAGTTCCAGATTCAACAGCAAAACTGACATAAATTTCCTTTTTCTTCATCAGTTTCACACAAGATTTATTCTTGTTGTAGATCTTAGCAAGCATGGCCAAGTTCCTTTTCACCTTTTTACTCCAAGAAAGCACATTAGTATTTATGGAAAAATGGGCATGAACGATACAGAATGTAATTCTCACAAAGTTCAATACAGTACCTATAGAAAAGCTAAAACAAATACTGTCAAATACTAATGCCTGGTGAGCCTAAGAGATAGGCATTATTTAGACTCTTTTTTTTTATTTTTGAACTCAGAGCTTTGTGCTTGCAAAGCAGGCGCTCTTCCTCTCAGGCTACTACACCTCCAATCCATTTTGCTCTGGTTATTTTGGAGATGAGGTCTCACAAACTATTTGCCAGGCTGGCCTGGAACCAGATCCTCCCAATCGGTTAGGATCATAGGTGTAAGCCATCAGCTCACACACAGTCTGGCTTATTTGTACTATTGTTTAAATTTTTCAAATAAAAGTCTGCACTTACTTGTGGCCACATAGCCTAGCTGTGGAACCAAATGTTCATCTGCTGAGTTTTCTCGACCGGGTACTAATCTCTGGTACTTGGTTGGGTGAGGGTTCCCATCCACATCTACCAAGAACGGTGGCGGCATGAGATGAGGAGCCTGCTGAGTCTGCTCATCTAAGACATAGTTGTTAGAGTCTCTAATCAGTGGTCGGTAGTCGGTGTGGAAGAACATCTGATCAGGAATCTAAAACGGGAAAGTTCACAACATGACATTTTGAGTTTTATATTAAAAAAAATTAAGCAATGAATTAAAACTAAAAGCACAACCTCAGCCATATCCAGACCACCTCTCAAATATTTTATATGGTATAAGAAAATATTAAAAATGACCTTTTCATATGGTTTGCTGCATCCAAAGCCAAATATCAGAAGGTGCCCATGAGAATCTGTACAGGCAAAATGCTGTCCGTCCTGTGAAAACTTACAGTCAAACACAGCTCCATGTCCTTGCCCTTCAATCTAGAAAACACAGAGGTAAAAAAAAAAAGTTAGGCTCAATCCTATTTAAGCACTTTTGCTATATAAACTTTTTGGGTTTTGCAGGACTGGAGTCTGAAGTCAGGGCTTTGCACTCCACGGAGACAGCCACTGAGGAAGAGCCATGATCACGATGCGTAGAGTGCAGTCCCGTACTGTGCGTGCTGGACTTAGCTTTTCTTGTAACGTTGCCCAATTTCCACTAAAGACATGCTGCCTTTCAACGCGTCTAAAATCTTCCCTTTAGCACTTCAATTAAGCACATCAGCGTTTGCCCTCCTCTTGGCACACCATTTGCTTTGTGGGAGGCACATTTTCACAAAATTAAGGGCAGAGAAACACTCAACAAATCACACAACTGATGATAATGTGGGACTGACTTGAGCGTGCTCCCACATCAACTGAGCTGTCTAATGAGCACTCAGGAATTTAAACTTCTTGTTTTTGAAATTTCTTCTGCTTTTTTGACCAAGCTCAGTCAAAACCTCGTACAATAAATCCACAAATAAGGCAGGCTTCCTGCATTTCCCTTCACTCTAGTGCCCAAGGATGGGCTTCAATCAGCAAACATGGAAAAAAATGAAGTCACTTAGGGTATGGCTAAGACAGATCTGTGTTTTCTCACAACATAAAAATAAAGAAATGTGTAATACATTCTTTCTCCAATTGACTGTTAAAAGAGGGAACACATGATTCAAACACATGATGCTTCCAGGAGCCACATCTGCAACAGCACAATCTGCCTATGGTGGCACTTTGCATCCCTGGCCTGGGGCCTCTAGTTGTAGGAGAGTCAGTGAAGAGGGCAATGAGAACCTGAAGCTGGCAAAGCAAATATGGCAGCACCCATGCTTCCCATGATACACTGCACCAAAAGCTTTCCCAGGGATACTTGTTGAGAAGTTTCCCAAGTAGGCAAAGCAATCTGAGCACAGAAAGCCACCTGTGGGTTTTGTGTGTGGCTGGAAGCATGCTATACAACAAGCCCTGACAGAGTGCAAACTGGAAAAACAATTCAATGTCACATTGAAGTTTATTATGTATTATGAAACAGTGCTCAGTCAATAGCTCTGTGATCTGTCTAGTACTAAGAATCAAGAGCCTTTCAGGGACAGTGAACAACTCATAACAAAAGGTCAATTATGATTCCTCGCCTTAGAGGTCATTCAGATTATATTCTACTTAAAGCTTAAATTAATGTAATTTTTTGCTTTGATAAATTCAAAATGTAATCTTCTAGGCTGTATAGCTCAAGTGGTGGAGCACCTGCCTAGACAGCCCTGAGTTTAAACCATAATACCTCAAAAAATAAAAAATAAAAATTTTTATCTTCTTACTGAGTTTTAAAGGATAACTGAGTTAATAGAAATATGTCTATGAATTCTGAGACCACAGAAAAATGTCTAGGGAGGCTTACTTCCTTTTCCAATAAGGTGAATACACAGAAACACAGCTTTCAGAGACACATAAATATGTATTTGTAGTTTGATCATGCTATTCTGAGACTTTTTTAGAGCACATTTAATGTTAAGAAATTATTGCATTTTATGCTGTTAGAATAGCTGTCCAGACTGCACTTAATGAAATAAAAACTTCAAGGTAAAAAAATAAAAAACCTAATAGGACTAACATGGATTAGGATGCCTTCAAAAAGTCTTAGGTGCTGGTGGCTCGTACCTGTAATCCTAGCTACCTGGAAGGCTGAAATTAAGGTTCTAGGCCAGCCCAGAAAAATAGTCCAGTGACCCCATTTCCAAAATAACCAGAGCAAAATAGACTAACAGTGTGGCTCAAGCACTAGAGTGCCTGTTTTGCAAGCCTGAAGCCCTGAGTTCAAACCCCAATCCCACCAAAGAAAATAAATTAATTAATTAAATAAATAAATAAGAGGCCAACACGACGCTTCCAAAATTAGTTACACTTTAACTTAGAATGCAAACTGAAGAGTCCATTTCACTAAACACATCTCATATATAAATACTGGTGTAGCTCAGCGATGGAGTGTATGGTTATTAGCATGCAAAAAGCCCTGGTTCAATCCCCAGCACCAAAAAATAAACCAGTAAAGTAAAGCAAAGCCTTAAGAACATTAAAATTTTTACCAGGGTAAACCCCTCCAAATTTATCCTAAGTAAGTTCTTGTGTACAAGGATATTCAAAACGTTACTAAGGCATATATTTTTTTAAAAACCACTCACTTATTCAACAATGCCAAATGAGTATCTTAAGTTACTTTCATCTCAGGCTGAATTCACATTCAAAAATATTACAGGTTTTCCACATTAAATGAAAAAAAGATGGACTGGAGGCACTGCTCAAGTGGTAGAATGCCTCCCTAGAAAGCACAAAGCCCCAGCTTGAAACCCCAGCACCACAAAAAAGAGAGAGAGGAAAGATGACAAAACTATGTGCAAGGAGGCCAACCCAACCAGTAAATATACAAAAAATGATGCCACTGGAAATCTTTGAATGACTGAGTATTTCTTAATATTGATATCTGATGAGACAAGATCTTTAACATCTCAAAACAGCCACATTAACTTAATAATTTACAAAAAGGATGCTGGGGAGCAGCTAGAGCAGTAAGAGTGCCTGCCTAGCAAACATGAGGTCCTGAGTTCAAACCCCAGTATAGCCGAAAAAAAAAAAAAAAAAAAGGAAAAGGGCTGGGGCTAGGGTGTAGCTCAGTGATAAAGTGCTTGGCTAGCCCGTACAAGGCCCTGGGTTTTATCACCAGCATCAAAGAAAAACTGTGTAAGAGAAGCTAATCATGGTGACATACCAGGTGAAACTGAAGGAGATTCTGTGACATTACTTGTGTATATTCACTCATCAAAAGCTAAAGGACAAGAAGATTTTTTTTTTTTTAAAGACTAAAGGGCTATTGAAGATTAAAGAAAAGTAACAATATACCACCACTTAATACATGACCTTCAGTTGTACCCAGCTACAAGTTGCAAGATATAGCTATCAAAGGCCTTACCGGCCTGTACAGATTTTTCTCATTTTAAAAAAAAGACATTACTCGGACAACTGACAAAATGTGAATACAGAACTGGATTAAACAATGCTTTTACATCATATTATGGCTATACAAGAGGAAATTCTAAAAACATACATTAAGATCAAAATTTGGATCAAGAAAAATATATTCAGAAGTATATTTATTACGTGTGTGTGTGTGTGTGTGTGTGTGTGTGTGTGTGAGAGCAAAAAGATAAAAATAGGGCTGGCAGTGTGGCTCAAGCGGTAGAGCACCTACCTTGTGCACAAGGCACTGAGCTCAAACCCAGTACTGCCAAAAGATAAATAAATAAATAAAGACATAATAATTGAATGGTTGATCCCTAGGTATCATTTAGGGATGTATACTGAATATTATTCAATTACTGAATATTATTGTACTGGTGACTGTAAAGTCATTTTTATAATTATCATGAATTTGTCAATGTAAACACTGACAGGCACACAGTCACATAAAAAGCTACTGGTAACTTGAGAAAAGATTTCCTTGCATAAATCACACCAAGAATTGCATGTACATATAGCTGAAAGGCTGTAGGTATTTATTAGGCTTGTAGTACACTGATTTGTAGAAAAACTGTCAAAGCATGTCAACTTTTGGCTAACCTGGGTAATTCAATTATTCTGAACACAGGCAGCATAGCTAAAGCCGTCCCTCATTTCACTTACCATGTTGAAGTAATGCTTCACCTTGGTGCCTTTGGTAATATCCCATATAAATATGCTGCCATCGTGTCCTGCAGATAACATAATTCTGGAATCAAAGGGATGTGTCTCCAGAACAAATACTTCATCGGCATGTCCCTTTATTCAACAAAGTCACAGCATGAAGGGGGTTTGCAAGTTACAAGTTGAAACACACACACACACACACACACACACACACACACACACACAGTCATACAATGTAAGGGTTTTGAAAAATACACTAATGCACTATACAAAAATATATACATTGTTATATATTAGTACTTCCAGTCATCTGATCACTTAAATAAAATTACTTCTTCAGTATGTTAATTTTATAGTTTCAAAACTAGGAGTTAAAAAAATTTTTTACTTCTTTGTGGGACTAGGGTTTGAACTCAAGAGCTTTGCACTTGCAAAAGCAGGAGCTCTACAACTTGAGCCACACCACTAGTCCATTTGGCTCTGTTTATTTTGGAGATGGGCTCTCAAGAACTATTTGCTCAGGCTGGCCTGGAACAGCAATCCTCCGGCTCTCAGCCTCCCAAGTAGCTAGGATTACAGACGTGAGCCACCAGCGTCCAGCAAGAGTTCAAAAATTCTGATTTGTCATATTGCATAAAAACTACCTACCAGTAAGTTATGAAGCAGTTGTCCAGTGTAAGAATCCCACACTTTGAGGACATGATCATTCACAGCTGTGACAACAATGCTATCATTTTGATTCCACGCTATCATTGTTACTTTGGGTTTCATAAACCTTTCCTCTTCCGAACTTAAGTCTCTAAAAACAAAAAACATGCAGAATGTGTAAACTCATCTGACAGTAGGCTACACAGGCATACAAACCGTCACAAAACTAAAGAAACCCAATTCATCTGCTATTTTACAATCCTTTGGAGGGTTCATCATACCTGAACTGTAACAGGTTATCTCGAAATTGATTTGGGCAAAGCCAGGGGTATAACTTAGCACTTCAGAGACTGAATAAAGGCAGATTTTAGGGCATTACAGCTCCTTGAGAAGGCAAAGTTTTTTCCTGTTATTCCCCTCTCCATTGCCAAACCTATTGCTAACATTTACTTTCAGTTACTTCCACAAAGACAAGGAAAGAAATTTCAGGAAGACAGAAAGAAGGTCATGTACCCCAGTGTCTAGAAAAATACCTGACATATGTTCAGCTGGTTCAACTGTAAGTGAGACTGCATTTTTCTCCATACTTCCCTGTTCCTATGAACCTCCTGGCAAGAATGGGTTAGGATGCAAGTTTGTGCTATTTTACAGCCTTTACAAAGGTGGGATTGCCAAGTTTCTCTGTATACTACAGCAGTCAGCAACAAACAATAGGAGGGAGGGAAAGGCCTAACCAGTTCTGAAATCACACAACACATTCTAAGAATCGATAAGCATCTAATGTGCATTTTACTTAGAAAAGAAAACAGCTATAGGAATACGGAGTAAGTGGCATGCAGCAGCCACCTACGCAAGTGTGATGGCAAAGAGAAGAAATGATAAGTCTAGCTTACCTGGCTATGGGACACAATAAACTAAGACACCACAGACAAGACAAAGCCTTTACTCTTCATTTACACTAAAAGAAGCCCCAAAGTGACTGTGAATTTAGTAACAAATGTGTTACATAGCATCAGACTAACTAGCCAAGGAAAAAAAAACCAATTCCTTCATTCTTACAGAAAGCTCTACTTTTGAAGATATGAAGGCAGTGAAACTTTACATAGCAACAAGAAAAGCAGGCAGTTTTGCCAGGTGACTCACACTTGTGATCAGGAGGAGGTCAGGACAGCAGTTGGAGGGCAGCCCAGGTAAAAAGTTAACAAGACTCCCCTCTTAACCAGTAAAAGCTGGGCATGCTGATACATGGCTGTCATCTCAGCTACATGGGAAGCACAAGCTGGAGGACTGCAGTCCAGCAGATAAAAAGTGAGACCCTATTCAAAAAATACCTAAAGCAGAAAGGGCTTAGAGACATGGCTCACATGGTGGAGCACCTGCTTAGCAAGTGCAAGGCACTGAGTTCAAACCCCAGTAATGGGGTTTTGGAAAAAAAAATTCTCAGAGAAATGTATGAAACCCAGTACCGCCTTTAAAAAAAAAAAAAATCCTGGTATGAAAAAGTGTAAAGTGGGCTAAGGGTAAGGATATGGCTGAAGAGATACAGGACTTGCCTAACAAGTGTGAGGCCCTATGCTCAAACACCAGTACTGCAAGCAAGGAATTAAAAAAAAACACTAGGTTCAACTTAGGAAACATACTCTAAAGGAAAACTGTACAGCTTTAGACTTCTAATACTTACAGTGTAACAAAAATAATAATAGTATTTGTAACAAGCAAAAGAACATGAATGTGCCCAGTCTAAGTCAGGCCTCCTGACACACACAAATCAAAGACGCTGCAAAGTTGCACTGTCTCACCTGGAAAGGGCTACTCACCTCAGCTATGCTCAAAATATGGCTACAACTCTCACGGGATCATGAACTGACAAGGGTGCTTTCAAGCCCATTTGATAGCCCAAAATTTTGGCAAGCACAACTCCCATTGGAGTCCCCCACTTTTTCTAAACAATAAATTATGTTGCTCATTTAATTCTCCAGCCTTAGCTACAGGTTAGTTTTTAAACGTTCCAAAATCCTATCACAGAAAAGTAAAACTGTCTGTAGTGGAAATTTTGTAACTTTTTTGTGGAGTTGGGGTTTGAACTCAGGGCTGTCACTCCACCAGCCCTTTTTTTGTGAAGGGATTTTCCAGAAAGGGTCTCTCAAAGTATTTGCCTAGGCTGGCTTCAAACCATACTCCTCCTGATCTCTGCCACCTGAGTAGCTAGGATTACAGGCATGAGCCACTGACACCTAGGTATAAGTTTTTTTAACTGAAGGAGGTCTTAAATGCCAAACCTGAGAAGGAGGTCAATACAACAGTTAAAGCTTATGCTATGCTTTCCCACGTGAAAGGTGGATTTATGGGATTGATATGTTTATCAGATGCACAATCAGGAAACTATTCACTTACACTAGAGCACTTCATAATAGAAGTGGGGGAGAAATGACCCAAGCCTTGTATGCACATATGAATAAGAAAAGAAAAAAAAAAAAAAAAAAAAGAAAATGATCAGCATATGGGGGAAAGGAATCCTATCATGTACCTACTTACAACTAACAATTTAAACTTACCCTGAGATTCTGGTAGCCATATCCAGTAAAATGCTTCTCCATTCTAACTGCTCAAATCTCCAAATCCGTGCTGTTCCATCTCTGCTACCACTTAGGAACCTTAAAATATTCAGAAAAAGACAGTCTACTCATACACCTGCCACTAAGGGCTACAGTTATAATCACCAGGACTGGGGAAGTGGTAGAGCACCTGCCTAGCAAGCATAAGACCCTGAGTTCAAACCCCAATACTCTCAAAACAGGGAAAAAAAAAAAAAAAAAAAAAAATCACAGTGATTAGAAAAGATTTTTTTAAACTACTCAAACAGAAGGAAAGAAAAAAAAAAAAACTAAACTAAAAAAAGCTGGTTGAGTGGCCGAAGTGGTAGAGCTTCTGCCTTGTACATGTGAAGTACTGAGTTCAAACCCCAGGACCACTTAAAAAAAAAAAAAAAAAAAAACAGAAGGAATTTCATTCATCCTTACACTTAATTTTTGTCAGTAAACTGACACCTAGTCAAAGAGCTACTTCTGATCCTAAAAGCCAACACTACAGTATTCTAGCATCTTAAGTGTCACAGTCCCCCATGTCACACTCTTTATTCAACTAATGCATTTACTGAAAAGTGTGTGAAACATATAATGTAGCTCTGTGACAGTTAATTAGAATGCAGGATATAATCCAAACCTACGAAGAGTAGATTTTAAATGTTCTCATCAGATGATCTAAGCATTTGGAATGATAGATAAGCTAATTAGCCTGAGTTACTCCACAAGGCAAACATTACCAAAATAACACTAATGGCCACAAAACTATACCATTATAATTTGTCAATTAAGAATAAAAACTTAAAACATAAAGTGATATATCATGTGTACTAGTCTGAAGCATATTGTATTTGCTTAAGAACACATACAAACACACACTTACCGATCACCAGTGTTACAAAATTGGATACTATCAACTTTATCCTAAAAGGGAAAAAAACAAAATACAGGAATAGTTATCTGCATAGTTTGAAAATGCATAATAAAGAAGAGCTAGAAGCACAGATGCTTCAACAAACAAGAAGCCTGCGCCTGGGCTGCTTGGTCCAGCTGTTCTGCACTACTGAGCGCCAAGGCAAAGACTGAACTAGGTATCTCACAAGGCCACAAAGACATTCTGAAAAAAGGCACATCTATTTAAAATGAGTCATGTGAAAAGGACAAGGGATGAGTAAAAAATTATCAAAATGAGACTGTGAAGCAGCTCAAAACAAAGTGTTCCCTACCCTACTTAGTAGTCACTTTTCAAGTGATTGCAATCCAGGTTTATCAAATAACCACTGGAGGTTCACTGGCTTCCCCAAGACTTCCTATAGAAGAAAAGATAAACCACGCAGGATATACTCATGCCTGTAATCCTTAACTATTTGAAAGCTGAGATGTAGAGGATCAAGGTTTGAGGCTAGTCTGGGCAAATACAACACCCCATCTCAACCAATAAAAAAGTTGAGCATGGAAGCACATGCCTGACAACTCAACTACACAGGAAGCAGAACAAGGAAGATTGTAGTCCAGGCAAAAAAAGCTTTAGAACTTGTCCCAAACAAGTAACAAAAAACCAAGAAAGGGTGGAGCTCCTGCCCAGCAAGCACAAGACCCTGAGTTCAAACTCCAGTACCACCAAAAAAGAAAAGCCATGCCCTGACTCCACTCTCAAATGCTAACTGAGTTGACAATGACACCCTTCCCAGTTAAAGCAATCCCTCCTATGTGTAAGTTAAGAATAGAATTAGCAAACACCATCCTGCCCCTTATGAACATAAATTCGTAAGAACATCACCTTCAGGGCTGGGTGCAGCTCGGTGCTGAAGCATTTGCTTAGCACACATGGGCCCTGGGTTTAATCCCCAGCACAGGCCCAACTATGATTCAACACTTTAGATGCATTTTTTTCCTGGGGGAGGGGAAGGGGGACTGGGATTTGAACTCAGAGCTTTACGGCTTGCTAGAGAAATGCCTTACCACTTGAGCCACGTGTCTCCAGCCCTTAATACTTTATGTCTAACCAAATAATAATCAAATATCTTTAAAATAAACCAAGTGTGGTAGTACATGTCTGTAATCCTAATACTCAGAAGGCTGAGGCAGGAGGATCTCAAGTTTGAAGGCCAGCCTGAGCTACACAGGAAGACACTGTTTCAAAAAATTTCAAAAATACATACATAAATAAAACCTCTTTAATATAAAATTCCTTTGTTAAACAGACAAAAACTAAGACAAAATCAAAATTGAATCAGAATAACAATTCCCCTTAGAAGAGGATTGTTATTAAAACATGAATGCTTACCGTGTGACTTTCAAGTTCTGCGATTTTTTCGGGTGCTTCAAAACCCAAAAAATACATTCTGATTACATGATCAGTACTACCGGTAGCTAAAAACATACCACCTGAAATAAAAATATTAAGGTTTAAACATCTAGTTTGTAAGAACGATCTGAAAATTTCTGTATTAAAAAAGCAAGATAGCTTACTCCAACATTTATCAGGCTCAATTTCCTGGCTCGCTACACAAAGAGCTCCTGATGCAGTACTCAAGAGGTTTTCCTAAAGTGAGCCCATCAGAAAGTGTTCAGGCTTACCTAAGTGCCAGTGTTCTAAAAATACTGGAGAAAGGGGATTCTGGACTCTAAACAACTTTACACATGTAGACGTAGCTTTGGAATACAAAGCTCACTGTTTGGTTTTCAGACTTTCAAGAAGGAAAATATTTGACTTATCCTTTAAAAAACATTACCACACAAGTTTGTTGTACAAGAAAAGAAAAATGAGGAATCATTTCACCAAGGTATATGTGTGGAAGAAAGTTTTAACAAAATAAATATGCATTTAAAATCATAAATTTTGGAATATCCTGCACATGGGCCACGTGACACAGGAACAGGTTACTGGATGTGTTGAGGTTCATTTTTGCCTCATCACCAACTCTGATTACTACTAGAATCAAAAGGACAAAAAATGAGGCAGAAGACAATAAATGTTACAATAGAAGAAAGAAAGAAAATTACCAAGGAAGCTACCTTACCAACGCTAAAAGAAGAACAAAGCATCTGAACACCTGGCCGAGGCTTTTCAGTGAACTTCAGGGGCCGTGGACTTTAAAAGAAGAAGACATTGCTTTAAAAAAAGTTAGTTTAACACATTAACACATTTAAATGATTGGCTTTAATCTAGCATATTTAAATATTATGCCCTTATTTCTGTAATAGCTTATCATACACCAAGCACTTCCACATATGCTATCGTATGGGATGGAGGTTAAACTGTGAGTCTAGCTCTGACTCCACGCACATCTGACCACAGACAGCAGGCTAACGAACCCCCTTTGTTAGTGACGTGACTGAGTTCAGAGAGTATGTGAAGCAGGGAGACACAGCACCAGGACACCACAACAGAATGGATTACCAATCTCCTTTTCCCAGTTGTCATGCTCTTAAAAAGTAAAGAGAGGGCCAGGGATAGAGCATTTGGCAGACGTATGAAATTCAGAGTTCAATCCCTAGCACTGCAAAGCAAAACGTGAAGTAAAGAAGAAATGGGCACAGTGGTGAAGGCCTACAGTCAGTCACGGCTGGCTGCTCAGCAGTGGGAGGACTGCTTGAGCAGAGCTCAAGGCCAGCATGGACACCAGTCAGGCCTCACCCGGTGCTGAGATGAGATCAGTCCATTATGTCCAAACTCACACATCAACAGAAACGCAACTGTAATGAGACACTTTCGAGTCTTTATTTCCTATTAAATCTTGGAAATCTGCTAGTATTATTCTACACAAAACATCTGTGTGGTCAGGTGCCAGGTGCCAGGGGCTCAAGCCTGTAATCCCAACTCCTCAAAGGCAGAAACTGAGAGGAATACAGTTAACAGGCTAGTCTGGACAAAAAGTTGGCAAGATCCCACCTCAATCAATGATCTGGGCATGGTGATTGGACCTGTAATCCCAGCCACACGGCAGATTGTAGGTAAAAGGACTATAGTCCCAGGCCCAGAAAAATGAAAGTACCTAAAAGATAACCAAAGCGAAAAAGGGCTGGGGTATAAAGTGCATGCCTAGCCAGCACAATACCCTTAGTTCAAAACCCCAGTACAGGGAAGAAAAACCACTTGATCTGGGACTGGAGGCACTTGCCAGTAAGCACAAGACACTGAGCTCAGCCCCAATACTGCAAAACACACGGTGCTCTGCAGCTGCAGATACGATGCAGATGCAGAGGCCCTGCTTTGTGTGCATAAGCCCTGGGTTTGATGCAGCACGAAGAGGAGGGGAGAGGAAACAAAGGGAGTGTGAGGACAAAAAAAATACTTGAAATATAGTCCAATTTCCTACAACTGAACAGTTCAAAAACCCACAGACTCAAAATGTTCGAAACTGGGCACTGGAGGCTCACGCCTGTAATCCCAGCTACTCAGGAGGCAGAGATCAGGACAGCAATTCAAAGCCAGCCCAGGCAAATAGTTCTCAAGACAGTATCTTGAAAAAACCATTCACAAAAAAAGAGTTATTGAGTGGCTCAAGGTGAGGCCCTGAGTTCAAACCCTGGTACTAGAAAAAATACTCAACACAAAAAAGGCCAGGTGGAGTGTCTCAAATGCCTGCCTACCAAGTATGAGGTCCCGAGTTCATTGATGAAAAAGAAAGAAATGTCTGAAACATTCTTAGAAGTCTTCTCAGTAACTGAACCAAGTATCAGCTTTTAAGCTTAAATTAACAACGCGGGTCCTCCATTACACAAGGTACGACTGAGGTGCTCAACAGTCACATGCAGCCAGTGGCTACTCTATTGGGAAGCACGAACATGTTTCCCAGTTATGAGTCTCCAATGTCCTGCTTCAATTCCTGACTGCACACCTGACTGTACAAGTCTAACATTTCTTACATGCTAAACATACGTGTTATTGCACTGTGTTTACACACAGATGTGCTCACAAAGACAGAAAAGCTGTGCTTTTTATTGAACATATCCAACGATCTAAATAATCTCAACAGTAAAGGGTCAATGTCACACATACATTTCATACAGTAAAAATTAAGTTCACAAGCACAAAGGCAACCACAACACATAATTTCTCTTTCTAATCAAACTTCATCTCAGCAGAAGAAACCTTGTTACACGAAAGCCACTTACCTGAACTTTAAGGACTCTAAATCCCACTGCCAGAAGCACACTGTCCCATCAGCACCAGTGGAGACCATGTATCTTTGAGGTCCTTTGGCCATTGGGCTAAACTAAAAGTCAGTAACACACATCTGTCAGTTTCCAAAGCTTCTATAACCATTATACTCTAACAGTTTTCCAAAGTTAACTTCAATTGACAGGCTAAAGAAACAAAACACAAGTTCAAAACACAGGCAGCATTATTACAGTGAAAAATCTAGTACTATACATTAACTTACACATATGTAAGATTCAATACGTGATTTTCAAAACTAATAAATAAAAACAACCAAAGAAACATTCATAGTCAAGATCAAGCAGTGTACTAAAACACATCAGAGCCTCAATAATTAAAACTATTCAGTACAGCAGGTATATGGACAAAACGACCAATGGAAAAAGTACAAAATCCAAAAACAGACAGTAATGCAAGACAATGGTGGCATTTCAAATCTCACAGGGACAATAGTTCACTGCATGAATAGTACTGTGGCACCTGGAGGTTTGGAGGGAAATAGATCCATGCTTCAATCTATGCCATCAGGATATATTCCAAATGAATGGATAATTGAAATATATAAAAAACAAAGCCAAGGGTTGGCTGAGTGGCTCAAGTGGAAGAGTGCCTGCTTAGCAAGCATGAGGCCCTGAGTTCAAATTCCAGTACTGCCCCCCAAAAAAACAAAGCCAATACAGTATAAGAAAACACAAGATTATACTATAACTTTGGAACATAGCTAATGTTTGTATTTAATAAAGTACCAAGTGCACTAAACAAACAAGCTAGAAAAAGGCAGATCAATTTGGTCCAGAGACACCCAAGAAGGCTTAAAAGATAAGAGTAAAAAATAAAGGGAAAACACACTAAGCAAAAGAATATTAAGCTAAAAAGTGAGAGGTAAGTCTGGTGTGGTGGCACACACCTGTAAACCAAGCACTCAAGAGGATGAGGAATGATGACTGGAATTTGGAGGCTAGCCTGGGCTACATAGCAAATTCATATGAGAGAGAGGGGAGGAGGCAGAGGGGGGAGGAAGAGAGAGAGAGAGAAAAGTTAAGAGGGAATATAGCATGTAATAGGAACACAAAGTTTTCATTTTGGGAAGTCAGAAAATAGGTGGACAATCAGGATTTAGTAACAGCAAAAGTAATTTATAGTTTTTAAGACCACTACCAAACACAGATTTGCCCAAAGATTTGCCTGACAGCAGAATACAACACTGATTGAAAAAGACATAGTTAAGATGTAATAAAGAGCCAAGAAGCAATCCAAATAATCCAAGAAGGAAAAACCTTAACTGCAGGACAGCGCCCTCCCGCTCCCCCTCAAAATAGGGAGGAGAATCAAGAAAGCAGCAAGAACACTTGCTGATTCATGACCATCAAGACAAAAAAGGAGCTTAGAAAATCTAAGACCAGGGAGGGGGGTGGGGGGAAAAACGGCCCAAACATTGTATGCACATATGAATAAACCAAAAAGAAAGAAAGAAAACAAAATCCAAGACTACCAGTGCCATTAAAGAAAAGTAAGAGTTAGACAGAAATGGCTATTGAAAAATACTTAAAGTGATTGTTTACATCTAAGCACATACTAGAATATGGTCTAGCACAGTAAAATCTAATTAAAAAAAACAGGAAAGGCAAGGGGCTGGTAGCTCATGCCTGTAATCCCAGCTACTCAGAAGGCAGAGATCAGGAGGATCGTGGTTAGAAGCCAGCCCAGGCAAATAGTTCACGAGACCTATCTCAAAAATACCCATCACAATAAAAGGGCTGGTGGAGTGGCTGAAGGTGAAGGCTCTGAGTTCAAACCCCAGTACCACCAACATTCAAATTTGGCTAGGGGTGTGGTTCAGCTAGAGTGTTTGCCTAGCCCTGGGTTCAAGCCCCAGCCCCAATAAACAAAAAAGACTTCTAAATGTGAATGTCTACAGAAGAATATTTCATGTTAAAGTCACCTACGCTCTCAAATTCCCAAACACACTTAGTAGTTCGCTGCCCTCTATTTCTGTCCCTCTTACATCTGCCTAATCCTGGGTTGGGATCACACTGGCTTCTTTCTAACAGCCCTAAAGCATTTTCAAGTATGTAGCATGGCTACAGTTTTGGGGGTTGCAGAGCTGTTGTACTCTGTTTACTTTTGTCTTTTAAATTGATTTCACAGCAGACAAAGCTCCACTAAAACAACTACACACACAGACTTGCAGTACCATTTGGAGAGAGGTGCTATTTCCACAATACTGAAGCTTCTGACTCAGGAACAAAGGAGGCACTTTCACTCCACTCACCCACACTTTCACACACTTCTTACACACTTCTTTCACACTTCTTGTTGGACTTGTAAATTTTGGTTTTACAATATGATTTTTACAATACCAGGTCTTATATCTAAACTGTTTTACTAAGCGTTCAGTGGTTCTAACAGGTTTTCGTGAAATTAATGAAAAGCCTCAAAGTATGGCGAATTTTTTTTTTCATTTATTGAAACAAGGACTTGCTGTGTAGCCCAGGCAGATTGGCCTTTACCTCCTGAGCATCACAAATACCCATCACAGAAAAAGAGGTGGTGGAGTGGCTCAGGTGGTAGATCACCCACCTACCAAGTATGAGGCCCTCAGTTCAAACCCCAGTGCCCCCAAAAACAAGAAAAAGTCAAAAGAGCTTTCCTGAAATCTACACATTAAAAAAAAAAAAAACCATGAGTTCTGAAATCTACACATTTTGAGTGACTTTTAGGAACTTAACATCCTCCATTTTTCACCACTTCTCAGCAGCAAAATAAGGAGTCTTGAACATAAGCTGATTTCCATGCTGTCATTAAAGAATGCATGACTCAATGAAAGTTAGCTGTTCCGTGAGCTGTAAAGCACAAACCTTCTTATGTGCTACATGTGCTTCCAGACAGAGCTATTACTGTGTGTGAAGGGAGGAAGGTGTCCATGTAGCACAGAACTCGCTGTGTTAACGACCTCAAGGCAAAGGCAGTTAAGTACTGCCAGTGCTGTTCAGCCATTACAATCACCTAGGGCCATCCTTAGCTACTGTTTCCCAAGATACACTGGAACATGTCAAAAGTATTTCCAACTGATTCCCTTAGATTTTTTAAGTTGGAAATGGGGAACTTTCATCTCGTCCTTTCCACTACTTATGCATTTCAATTGTTTCTTTCCTGGTAATACTGGCTTCAGATAATGTTGAATACTTGCAGTGGTAGTGTAGTGCTCACTCTTCCCCAACGTAGAATTCAGCAATATTTTTAACCTACATGAAAGGAGCACCCATGTCCTAGTCACCAAGACTCACCAACAGTTAAGTCTGTCACACGTGCCTCTTGATGCAGCTATCATATCAAGCTGCCCAAAATAACAATGTCTCTCTCACAGTCTGTGGGTCAGGATCAGGAGCACCTTCACTAGCAGCTCTGCACAGGGTCTCATGAGGTTGCAGTGAAAACATCTCCGTGGACTACAGTACTAGGAGGGAGTAACTGGCATTGGAAGACCTGCTTCCAAAATGGCTCATCAAGAGACTTGAGGACTGGAGACATGGCTCAAGTGGAAGAGCACCTGCTTTGCAAGCAAAAGCCCTGAGTTCAAACCCCAGTCCCACCAAAACAACAAAACAAAAACTCTGATTCAAGAGAAACAACCTTGGAAAAAAAACAACAAAACAAAAACAAAAACAAAACCAAAAACAAAAAAAGAGACTTGAGTTACTGCCATACTGAAGGTCTTTATAAAGGGCTGTCTGTCCCATCAGCCTGACTTACTGGCTTCCCTCAAGATGAGTGACTCAAGAAAGAAAGGACTAGCAGAGTATAGAGTAGCTCAAGTGACAGAGCACCTGACCAGCAAGAATGAGGCCCAGAAGTTCAACCCCGGTACTATAAAAAGAAAAAAAAGTTAGCAAGACAGACAGACAGAAGCTGGCAGGTGTTTACTACCTCTCATTACAAGTCACATACATCGTTTACTCGTTGTCCTGTAAGTTATGCAGGCCACTCCTATTCATCTACAGAGGGGTCTGAGGACCAGGAGCAACAAATACTGGAGATTGCCTCCTAGACAGGACCGCCCACAAGCTTTAATTTGTAATATTTTCATTATTAATCAGTTCAAAGTATTCTTAAATGTCTGCTGTGATTTATTCTTTCATGTTTGAGTTATTTACAAGTATCTTACTGAATTTACAAAACTGAAGTTTGTTCTGGTATTTATTCTTTTAGTAATTTCTGGCTTAATTCTGTTGTCACAGAATACACTTAGAATTATTTCAGCATTGTTGAGACTTGATTTTATGCTCAGAATAATTTATCCAAGAAACATCCCACCTATGACTGAGGAAGAATTTTGTGGATGTTAGATGGAATGTTCCATGTGTTGTCCACATCAAATCAGTCACTTTCATTGCTCAAATCTATGCTCTTAATGACACACGGCTGTTCTTTCAATTAGTAAGAGGAGGGGTGTTTGTGCCCCTTGAAGAGGTCTACCTCTCTGTCTAAGGTTCTTTTTTTGCTTTATGCATCTTGAAGCTATAGTACTAAACTAATTTAGTTATCTTCCTGTTCAATGAAATGTCTTGTCACTATGACCTGTCCCTCTTCATCTCTGAAAGTGTTATCTGCCTTCAAGACTTTATCTGATATTAGTATAACTATACTATCCTTTTGGTTAACATTTCACGATAACTTTTCCTTTACTTATTTTTAACATCCCTATATTTCTTATATTGGAGGTAGACACCATAGTTCAGTTTCATTTTTCAACTGTGTCTGAAATCCCTGTGCCTCAGCTGGACACTTATACACTTACAAGTAATGTAGCTATGCTCACACTGACATTCAGCATGTGTTATAGTCTCAGTACTCTTTTTTTTTTTTTTTTGGGGGACTGTGGTTTGAACTCAGAGCTTCATGTTTGCCAAGCAGGCACTCTACCGCTTGAGTCATAGCTATAGTCCATTTTGCTCTGGTTATTTTGGAAATGGGGTCTTGCAAACTATTTGCCCAGCTCTGCTCCTGCCTTGATTCTCCTGATCTCAGCCTCCCATGTTACTGGATTACAGGTATGAATATCTCACCAGGCTGGCCACATTTTTTTTTTTTTTTGACTCTTCATTCCTTTACCCATCTCCAAGCTTCCACCAGGAAGTACCACATTCTGTGTCTAAATACTGTTTAGAATTCCCTTAATGCTATTCTAACACAAAGAATTCTGTTTGTCGTACATATGCATTTTGTACTATCATTTTTCAATGATACTTTCAATGGATTCAGAATTAGGGGTTTTTAGAGACAGGGTCTATTAGCCCAGGCTGGCCTCCCCATCCTCCTGCCCTACTAAGTGCTAGGACTACAGATATGGGCCAACAGAGCAGGCTCAGAATTCAATGGCCCAAGTGCTAGCGTGCCTGCCTAGGAAATGTCAGGCCCTGAGTTCAAACTCCAATACATAAGATAAAAAAAAAAAAAAACAGAACCTCAAAATAACTACTAGCAAGCCCAAGTGAATCTTCTGATAGTATAAAAATTACCACCACCCAAATACACTTTTCAGATATACTCTGTAGGTGGTAAACACATGTGGGCCCTTATTACCAAAAAAAAAAAATTGTTTCACGACAAGACCAGAGCTCCACTTTCACACTGATGAACTCCAAAACAGTTTTATCAAATGAGCAGGGAGGATTTTTTTATTTGCTGCTCTACTGTCTGTAAGTTCCTATCAAATTAGAAAATGTTTACTCTGAAAGCTAGCTAAGATTTAATTTTCAAACTAAAAATAAATGGGCACCCAAAAATCTTCCTTAAACTTTCTAAATACAAACACTTTCGATTTCAATTCTCCTTGAGAATACTGATGAGAGTGTGGAGAAAAGCCACCTTCTATAAAAGAACTTCACTCCAACTCTATTAAAACCACTCACATATAACCTAGGGGAACTGACATGTGAAAACTGAGCCCCCCATCTAACAATATACTCCAACCTAACAAAACATTCTTCTCAAAAAACTGACAGAATAGCACCATTTTCAGCCCTAGTGAGCCAATGAATTCGAGGCAATGATAGACTACAGAGAGATCACCAGACAGTTTGTAAGAACTTCTATCTCAATGTGATAAACTCTGCAGGAAACTGGAGATGTAAACACAAACTCTCAGGCTTCATTCACGGACATGAAATCAGAACTTTCACTCACAGGACCCAAGCACTGGTGTTAAGCAAGCCCTCCAGGTGATCTTCACGCACATTTAAGAGAACTACTAGTCTGGATCCAGCAACCAATTTAAGAGAAATACAGAAACACATTAAACTGTTCCACAGGAAGCAATGGCAACACTCAAACCACATGGAAACTACAGATAAACAACTTAGGGTCCTCAACAAAGAAAAATTGGGCAGAGGGGATAAAATTTATGGCTCAAGGATTTTGTTTGTTTCTTTGTTTTTTAAACCTACAACCAGGCTTTGTTTAAGCTCCAAATTCAAACAAACTAAATAAAATCAGGCCATTTGTGAAATGACTGAAAATCTGACCATCAACAAATAGTTTTGTGGTTGTGTTTTAAAAGAACTATCTTTTAGAAATACATACGGAAATATATGCAGAAGAAACATTAAAAAAAAAAAAATCGGAAGTTTAAGTGGTTAGGGAAAAAGTATCAGAAACTGACAGGCCCACAGGGGTCCATTGCACTATTGAGTCTACTTCCTATCAGTTTCAAAATTATCCTTCACGTACTATGGTAAAATTTTTTTATTCCAGCAAATTTAATCAATTTATCAAAATCCACAAGTTTTAAAGAGAAAAATTACTAGCAGTTTATGTTTGACTCATTCAGTTCAACCTAAACCTTAAAGAAGCTTTAAGTGGTTCATAAAGTCTTAAAGCAAAGTTCGAATAGCAACATGAGATCTTATGACTTCTATGATTTATCAAGCATGAATGTTTACATTTTAATCTCGATTCCCTCAGTTTAAAATACAGCCTAGGACTGGAGGAGTGGCTCAAGTGGTAGAGTGCCTGTTTTGCATACGTGAAGCCCTGAGTTCAAGCCCCAATACCACCAAAAACATAAAATAAAATACAGCCTATAATTACTAAGCATCTTGGTATTTCTCAAAGCAAGAAAAGGCAGTAATACACAAATGTGTCCACTTGGCTGGAAGTTTACCTGTAAAGATGTAATTGATCCCGTGTGTCCTTGGAGCACAGCAACCGGGGCACAAGTTCGCAAGCACCACACTCTGATGATTTTATCACAGCTTCCTGCAGCAATCATTGTATTCTCATAGTTTACTGCCATATCTGAGATTTCTGCAGAATGACCTCTTAATGTGGACAACAGGCGGCCATTATGTGTTGACCAAATCTTCACCAAACAATCATCTGATCCCTAAGAAAAAACAAAATGTTATTAAAGTCTTTTAACTTACTTAGAATATTTCTAACATACCACCTAAATTAACTAAAGCCCCTCCTCTTTCCTACAGTAAAATACTCTGTAAATTTTGAGTCTTATGGTCACAACACATATGGAAAGAAAGTGTACACAAAGACTGTGAGGCTATCATTTCGCATTACAATACTGTTTTTCCCAAAATCCTATGCCAAGTAAGTAATATGTCCAACTGAAAGTCCCTGTTCACCTGTATCAATAACCAATGAATGACTAAATGCTAGTCTAGCTCATTAGGCTAAAAAATAAAATGAGTGTTAGTGCAGAGCTAAATTGCAGAGCCTGAAAAGACTAGCCGGGCACCGGTAGCTCACAACTATAATCCCAGCTACTCAGGAAGCAGAGATCAGAAGGACTGTAGTTCAAAGCCAGCTAGGACAAATAGTTCACAAGACCCTGCCTCAAAACAACCCATCACAAAAAAGGGCTGGTGGAGTGGCTCAAGTGGTAGAGTGCCTGCTTAACAATCATGAGTCCCTGAGTTCAAAGCCCAGTACCACTAAAAAAGAAAAACTAAGTGCCAACTCCAGAAACAATGAGAAAAACGTGGAAAGCACCTCACCTGAAATAACCAAACAACAGAGTCTCAGATTTACAATTCCAGCCAGCACCCATCATTCAACACACATGAGGATATACTTGGAACCTCACACCTACAAAACTAAACTTCTCACCCATTCTAATTTTCTCTTACAAACATTGAAAAGAAGCCAAGCACCAGTGGCTCATGCCTATAATCCTAGCTACTGAGGAAGCAGCAAAAGGATCGAGGTTAAAGCACAGCTCCAGGCAAGTAGTTCGAGGAGACTAATCTTAAAAATATTCAACACAAAAATGGGCTGGTAGATTGACTCAACTGGTAGAGCGCCTGCCTAGCAAACATGAGGCCCTGCATTCAAACCCCAGTAATGCCAAAAAAAAAAAAAATATATATATACACATAATTATACACACACACACACACACACACACACGTAGAAAAGGTTAATTAGATTCCAGATATTTCTATATAGTTTTCTAACAACTACTTGAACACAGGAAAGTCATTTAATAATCTATTTTCCTTGAATACTCATTAATTAAGTCTGAATGATCTCTAATGTTTGGGTTTTGTAGGTTTTGTTCCATTCGTGGCTAAGGCACACGCTTACTTAGATTAACTTCAACACAGCTTAATTCTGTTAAGTCTAGGATGGCTGAGAAATTCTCGGTTACATGTTTTCAGGTATTCATAATGATCATGCTTAAGAGCCACTAATCTACATTGATGTCTAAAAACAGCACGCAGTCATCACTATGGTGCTCAGTGACTTAAGTACTTATTCACATGGAACTATAAATTCAGGGCCCCACGGCAGACTTACTTGGTCAATCTTGAGGATGGGAAGAGAATATACATGTTATAAGATTCCTAGGTGGCTCTGAAGCACACAAAAGTGCTCCAGGTGGGACAAATTGAGTTTAAAATATTAACTCACTGTAAAGATCCTATGTCCTGTCCTATCAAATGCTACACAGTAAACAGCAGACAGATGTCCAAGAATCCTCCTGTGCATTTTTATATGCTGATACATAGCTCCTGGAAACGCTGTGCTAAAAGTGGAGCACCCTGTGAGTTGTTTTGCTCGATGTATCTCCACTAGGAAAATAAAAACAATAAAGACGATTAAGGGAGAACCAGTGTGAAACCTGAGAAAACTCCAACACAACATCTACAGGACTACGAAATCAGTGTCTGAGACACCCTAAGCACAAGTTCTTCCCAATCCTGCTCTACAATGACCACTAATTACAGACCTCTTATCATGAAATGATTGTTTCCATTTATTTTGTTTTTAAGTACTTTAAGAAAATAATCTGAGATTTGTGAAACAAGAACACTACAAGTATTTCCTTTTAAACTTTAGCATAACTAACATTTATAAATTTTGTCAAGAAGTAAGAAGTTTCAGGTATCTCAAAGGCCAACTTCACTTACCAATATTTGGTGGAGAACCATAATTCACCGGCATTTCAGGAGGTCTTCCTCTGTGAAGAGCAGCAAAGGCAGAGCCCTTCCAAACTGTGTGCCTGCAGTCTTTAAAATGAATTTTAGATACACATAAAATCTTGAAAGTTAACCCCAAAAAAAGATTTTATAGAATACTTACGTATATTGTAATAAACTGTTTATTCAAAGTTTTACCAACTAATATACTTTAACAGAAAGCCCTGGTGGTTTATTAGACTATTTCTGAAGGGGGAAAAAAACTGAAGACATGTCAGATACAGCAGCAACAACAGCTAACATTTGTGTAGCACTTTACAGTTCACAAAGTGCTTTCCACATACATCATCTCATTGAGTCCTCACAACAACCCTGTGAGGTAGGTATGTTCACCAATTTACAAGTGAGGTAACTGAGGCTCAAAGGTTCCAGGACCTTTAAAGAGATCCACTGCAAACTATCAGTAATGATGGGCCACAAAACCAGGTCTTTATCTCCATGTCACATTTAATGCCAGGTAAGTGTTTATTTTTCAATGCAGAATTAGACCATCCAATATTAAAGGTGAGCAGTTTTAATCACAACTGACCCAACTTATCAGAAATGGAAACTTTTATAAGGATTATCTTTTTGATCTATATAAAAATCCTTGACTTAATTGATTTGGTCAGTTTTAAAATTAATTTGGACAGTACTGCCACAACTTTATCTTCTTAGGAAGTACTGGCAAATTAAACAGCTTACCCTCTGTTTTAGGATCACAGCTAATCTTTTACAGAAGAGCACATATACAGGATCCATGAGTCTGAACACTAATTCTAACACCCCATCCCTCCTTGACCTACAAGCAAATGCACTAAGGAACAAAATGTCTGCCCCCCTCCATCAGAAATCACAGCAGAGAACAGGTCACGAGCAGATCTCATACTCATGCTGTGCTAGAAACTAGCTTCACAACTGAGTGATGAAGGGAGGGAAAGCATCAGAGTAAACCTCCACTGAGCCTCGGGTGCCCCAAACTAACAGGCATATTACGTATTACATGAATGGATTCATTGCCACTATTAAGACCAAAGAGCAGTTACAAGGCATCCTCTCATGGCACTAGGATAGAACGGATACAGAAACATGGCCCTATCCTACTGCGGCTGGCTAAAGGCTTCCAAGGTCTGCCAGTTCTAAAGCAGTGCTCATCACAAACGACATTGAGCTTAACACAAGAAAAAAACAAAAGAAAACAGGCTACCTAAGCAACTACGATGTAACAACCTACAGTAGAATAATTACAAAGAGAACAGGGACACAGGAAAGGAAAGTATGGACAGTTTCCTATCAGAGCCACAGTGTGACATGGCTCTAGAGCACTAAGAAGCAACTACAGCTGACAAAGCAGTCTGGCATGGAACCAAGAGGAGGGTTTTTCCTTCTCAGTCAAAGCTTTATACTGTGGTGCATCTAAGAGGTAGCATCACAACAGCATCAGCTCTTCACAAAAAACAATCATGGGATGAACTCCAAGTATGCTAAGTAAGGATCAGAAGAACCAACAATCTTGCCCGTTAGCAATTTGTCCACACGTATACATAGGTCATGTCACATACACATACTTTTTCTATGTCATTTATACCAAGCTAACAGAAAAAGTATAGCAATTCCAAACATTTTGCTGGCACATAACTTTGCAAAAAAAATTAGTTAAAAAAAAAAAAAGAATCATGCAAGTTTACATTTTTGGTGCTTATTTTCAAACTGCTACCAAATTCAGAAAATCATTTTCCCTTTAACAAAGGGCTTTCGGCATCTAAATACCAGAGCAGATACTTCTAGCATTTAAAGAGTTTATTAGACACATACAGTTACATTCATGAAGTTACGAGTGAGCTACAAAATGGAAAATTAAGAACTCACATTGATAAAACCTCAAACACATCCCAGAATAAATTGAAGCTTTTTAGCTTAACATCTATATCTTTATCCATTTTTTAAATGCGGAAGGACCCATTAAACACTTAGGTAATAAAATTCAATGTTCTATGCTAAGCAGAGAATTGTATAGTCCACAGCATGATTTATGGTTACATTATCACCTTTCTTCCACAAGATCATCGCAATCATTAAGCTATGAACACAAAGCAGAACGCTCTTCAAATCAAGGTACCTTTTGCTGTGCGTAGCACAGACTGCCTTCCTGCACCAAGTAAAGAAGTGGCTCCTGGAACACGGGGTGGGATCTCCTTATCCAGCATAGGGCCGACGCGCTGGCAGATTCGCAACAGGTGGTCAGGAGCCACATGCTTATTGGACAAGACCTGGTCAAAGAGTCAAGTTTTAATAACAGTGCTATTTACAGTACAAATCTTACATCAGCTAGGAATAGGTCTGATGAGTCATGAGAAAAACACACCGAAAATGGTAAAACGTGAGAAAAAGTAAAGACAACTTCAACAATAAACTGGACCACAGATTCAATCCCACCCCAATCAAAAGCCCAACAGGTAGGCTGGAGGTGTGGTGAGAGGGAGGAAGAAGGAAAGGGAAAACGGAAGGGGGGAAGGGGGAAGGGGGGAGGGAGGGAGGGTAGGAGGAAGGAAAGGAGGAAGGGAGGGGACCTCATTTCCAAAATAACCAGAGCTAAATGAACTAAAGGTGTGGCTCAATCAGTAGAGCACCTGCTTTGGAAGCATAAAACCCTGAGTTCAAATCCCAGTCTCAAAATAAAGAGAAAGAAAATTCCAGGAGGAATTTTTACAGAAACTGGTATTTTTGTTTCTTTTTAAAGTTTTTTTTCTCTTTTCTTAGAAACTGCTAATTTTATTCTTAAATTTGTATGCAAATTCAGGGGTGGGAATACAGTTCTGAGGTAGAGCATTTAACTAGCATATACAAGCCCCCTGGTTTGATCCCTAGCACTAAAAGTAAATCCATCAATAAGTATATGCAAAATTACATGCAAATGATATAGAAAAGCAGCAGCAGCTATGTAAAACAATAAAGCTGCAGGGCAAACAATATATGATGTCAGGACCTGTTATACCACTGTAATAATCACATCACAGTGTCGGTATAAAGAGCAAGAGATCAACAGAACAAACTGTCCAGGAGACCTACACATGTTTAAACCACTGATCTTTGATAAAGATGTCAATTCAGTGAACAACAGTCTTTTAAACGACTGGTGCTGGAACAACTGGATGTCCATTTACCAAAAATAAAAAATAATGAATTTGATCCATACCACACAACATAAAAATTATCCTAAGATGAATCGTAAGAACTAGCAGAGTGGCCCAAGTGCTAAGAATGAAACCATGAGTTCAAACTCGAGTGCCGCCAAAAAAAGAAAGGGGAAAAAAAAAAAAAAGATGGATCATAAAAACCCAAAGACTCCTGGAACAAAACATAGGGAAAAATCTTTATGACCAGGTCAGGCAAAGATTTCCAATATGACACCACCCACAACAAAGCAAATTGACAAGATTGGAGACTTCTCAGCAATACTCAACAATATTCAAAAAGTTAAAACTCAACAATAATCCAATTTTTACCTGATCAAAAGATCTGAACAGACATGTCATCAAAGAAAGTAATACAGATGGCAGATTTGTGTGTGAAAGGACACTGAACATCATCATTGCTAAGTAGCGAGATACAAAACACAACCACAGAGAGCTATTATTACACACATATTAGAATGGCTAAACTCAAACAGACCAGACCAAGCTCAGCAAGAGAACAAAGCTGCTGCTGCTGCTGCTGAGAATAAGAAACGATGTAACAACATGGAAAACAGGTAAATTCATGCACACCTATCACAAACCCTGCTACTCCCTGGATAGTTAATGAACCATGGACCATATTTTGGCAGCGGGGGGAGGTGTACATGAATGTTCTTTGCTTTCTTTTCAATAGGAAAGAGGATACAACCAAAATATCCAGTAACTTAGTACTCACAAATGAAGATTAACATTCATTAACTTAATGAATACTCACACTGTGGAATATCTGTACAATGGAATACTATTTAGCAATAAAAAGAATGAATTACTGGAAACACACACAGACAAATATTAGAATAATTGTACTGAAAGAAAACAAAAGACAGTACATATAGCATGTTTCATTTATATTAAGCTCTAGAAGATGCAAATTACATATACTAACAGAACATTTCAGAGGTTGCATGAGGAGGAAGGGTATATGGAGAATGGAGCAGGACTCACAAAGGGGCAAAAAGAAACTTACAGGAGAGATACACATGCTGTCTCCATTGTGGTGACACAACATGTCAAGCCAGAATATATTCACTTTATTTTGTTAATTACACTTCAATAAAAATAAACCACAAAAACAAAGGGAACTGTGAAATTCTGACTCATGAATATACCGAAGGTCACCTGATATGGATGTGTCTGGCATAAAACTTAATGCTGAATGACTGGCATGCCTCAGTCATACCATCCAGAATTTGAGGAGTAACAAATACCAGTGCAGGACCCTCCATACCCTCAAGACATATTGACCCTGGCTCCATCCACCAATGCCAGTAGTACTCACAAAGGCACTGTGACACCAACAGTGCTCCAACAAATACTGCTCCAAAGAAAATGTGAAGCATATAATTATAGATCTATAACGTGACTGTGGATCTATATTAAAAAAACTACTAAGATCACTTTTTTTGGTGGTGGCACTGAGGTTTGAAGTCAGGGCCTCATGCTTGCTAGGTAAGTGCTCTTACCACTTGAGCCACTCTGTCGGCCCTTAAAATCACTTTTTGCTTTTAATAATGAATCCCATGTAAAATAAGCTTGGGATCCAACATAAAGCTGTTCTTCAGAAGCCCTGGTGACAGAAAAAGCTAAGTAAATCTATCTTCAACTTCTCAACCTGACTCATGTTCTATACCTTCTGGCAGACATTCCAATACAAAATTCAGATGTTACCAAAACTGGGGCAGTCTCAAACATTAATATTTATTACCACTTTATGTTCCAAATGTCAAAAACTGCTGTAGGTAACTGGCTGAGCACACAAGAACAGAAGGGGACATGGATAGAATTAGGGAAAGAATTCTAAGTAGCCAAAAAAAAAAAAAAAAAAACTCACAGGCCTTAAGAACTTGTCAGAAAAAACTCCTATTACATTATACACTAGTGGATCTAAACAATATACCAAAAGGTTTATACAGTTAAGTTTTAAAAAACTTAAGAGAAATGGCAACTTTGCTTCTTGAGGGGAAGAAATCACTTTTCTTAACCTAGTAAGAGTTCTAAAGATGTATTCTCTCTCAGCCAAGCAAGGTGGTGTACACCTGTAATCCAGTACTTAGAAGGGGCAGGAGGATCAAGAGTTCCTGGCCAGCCTGAGCTGCACAGGGAGACCCTGCCTCAAAAAAATTGAAAAAGTTCACTCTCATTCTCTTTCTAGAGATGACCCACTTTCAATGTATTAAAAAGTGTATTTCTTTCCTAATAAACCTTACTATTGCTTTCACTACAAAAAGATAAAAATTTAAAAATTCATCTTCTCTTCAGGTGGATAGACAACTTCCACTATAAATGATTTTAAGTTTTGAGTTTACACTACCAAGCCTATGGGAACAATGGACGCTTTTATCCATGTGAAAGGCACAGATAAAAAACTCCTGGGTAGAAAATGTAAGGAGACTATTTTGCAATGCAGCCCAGGAGCTTACTTCACCACTTATATGGTCTAGAAGGAGGATTTTACAAATATGCAGATTACACACACTGCCTGAATTGAAAAGCAATAAAACTGACCACGAAGAGGTGGTGGAGTTAGGCCTCAAACAGTAGGGCACCAGACTCGAAAGCTCGAAGCCCTGAGTTCAAACCCCAGTACACCACACACACACACACCTACCTCACATTAAAATAATAGGTAAGTACATTTTGGGAAGGTACAGATATTATAGGACCATGTAACCTATGTAGCAGTTATAATTCTCGAAAAAGACAATTATGCAAGCTGAGGATTCAAACAAAACCACTGAACATCCAGGAAGAAAAATTACCCTATTTTTGTACAAAACAAGGTACTTCTACAAAACAAAACAATTGGAGTCTACAAAGGCAACAAAAATTAAAATGAAAAAGGTGCCAGTGAATATCATGAATAAATCAATACAATGTTGTTAATATTTGCAGGTCCTAGACGCCAATATTAGTAACAGTAACATCTATCAGCAAATTCATGAGTAAAACCACCATATAAGCGCCTCAGAAGTAGGTCAGAACTAATTCCATTCACGACTAGTCAACCTACCATCTTGTTCTCCATCACCCTATCCAATCTCACAAAACAAAGCAACTAAGGAAATCAGTATGGAGGTTCCTCAAAAAAATTAGAGCTCCCACATGGCCTGGTTACACCACTCCTGGACATGCACACATAGACAGATATACCACACGTGTGTGTGTGCACATACGTATGTGCATATAGGTGTGTACGTTATGTATACACACACACACACACACACACACAATGGAGTATTCAATCATAAAAAAGAAATTATGGGCTGGACACCACTGATTCACACCTGTAATCCTATACTCAGGAGGCAGAAATCAGAAGATCATGGTTCAAAGCCAGCCTGAGCAAATAGTTCATGAGACCCTACCTCAAAAATACCCAACACAAAAAAAATGGCTGGAGGCATGGTTCTTAGGCCCTGAGTTCAAACTTCAGTTAACATGCAAAAAAAGAAAAAAAAAAGATGTCATTTCCAGGAAAATGGATGGAACTAGAAATCAAGTTGACTGAAAAAAGCCAGACTGAGGAAGACAAATGTGGCACGTTCTCTCTCATATGCAGAATGAAGACTTAAAAAGAGCCGTGTGCCAGTTGCTCACATCTGTAATCCTACCTACTCGTGAGACAGAGATCAGGAGGATCCTGGTTCCAGGCCAGCCTGGGCAAAAAGTTCACAAGATCCCTTCACAACAGAAAAAAACTGAGCATGGTTTTGAGCACCTGTCATCCCAGCTACTGCGGGAAGCCTAAATAGGAAGATCGTGGTCCAGGCCGGCCAGCCAAAAAGCACGACCCTATCTCCAAAACAACCAGAACAAAAAGGGCTGGAAATGTGGCCCAAGCAGTAGAGCAACTGCCTAGCAAGCACAAGGCCAAGTTCAAATCCCAGTACCACAAAATTCACCAAAAAATTGAAAAAATGGATTAGTATAAAAGGAGACCTGCCACAGTGGCAGGGTTGTGAAAGGAGAGGGTGGGGAAGGAATTTATATGATTAAAAAAAGAGCATAGAGAAGAACTCGATCAAAGTGCGTGA